CCCGGCCACCAGACGCTCGCCGACGAGTCCTCCTTCTGGGCCTGGCTCCAGAAGGGGACCCCGGGCTTCCTCCGGGCCGGGTATCCTCACTTCGTGTGTCGTCTTTCATGAGGTCTTGTGAACCAATCTTAGTCTGGCCCCTTGCCTTAGTCTGGCCCCTTGCCTGAGACCAATTTGCCATGGGAGACCCTACCAGGAACACAAGGTTCCAGACAACACAGCCCCCAGGTTCATCAGGGCACACAAACCTCTCTACCACGGTAAGGTGCTGGTTCTTCATATCGTATCACAGATTTTGTAATATACGGTCAAATGATTCCAATTAGTTTAAAGAAATATTATTGAAAGCAACTGCTGTAACAATGTCTTGATTACGTCATTAAGTACTGATTGATTAACTAATCCTTGACTCCTGCTTGTGTTGCCTGAACAGGATCTCACATGTATTATTCTGTCTACAATGTGTGGCATTTTTAACATGATAATTGTTGTACTGCTTCTGGGGAAAACACACATTCTGTCATCACGTCTATGGTATCCCTCCTGAAATACAAAGTCTATGATGGATTCATTTAGTTTGAAATGTGCCGGTGACATTTCTTCTGTGATTGTGTGCCAAAAAAGGTGGTAAGTGGGTGAGACTGCAAGCATCCTTCCTACTATCTGTAAACACTGCAGGGAATTGGCAAATTTGTTATTGCAAGAAGTGTGAGGGGTAACCTTTCATTTGACCAAATAATTACTATTTTGATAGCTTAATAGTTTGTTGGCTTTTCATCATAGTCAATAACTACTCAGTTCAGTTTTTCTTAAAAATATGTCAACTTTTTGATTGAAACGTATATTGTAAATAAATTCAATCTAAAATATTTGTTTACACCATTTATTCTGACTGTTGAACAAATCACAACAGAAAACTGAAAATATACACATCTTTCACAGGATATCACTTCCATCACTGCCATATATTATAATTTAAGAATATTTACATATATTACAACACCACATCTGGGACTATGCACATTACTCATTAGATGCAACTAAGTGTTAAAGGGCAGCTGGCTATTCATGCATCAAACCCTGATTTACATTGTATTTCTTATGTACAGCCTGACCCTGATGTGTCAGTGGCAGCCGCAGCTTCCTGCCACCATGTCATTATACTGTTTCAACACCACATTCTCTGCATCATCAAAGTAAAGCAAGTTGATGGAGAAGAGCTTGTCGGGGACGCAGCAGGGTGTGTCGATGCCTTTGATCAGCTTCAGAGCGTTGATGATGGACTGGACGGTGGCGTGGTTGGTGGGCCTCATGTTCTGACCCAGGGGGAAGGGGCAGGAGCCTTTGCAGTGGTAGGCGTTGTAGCCGCGAGGAGACACGATCCAGCCCGACCAGCCGATCTCCTCAAAGTCGACGTAGAGGGGCTGGCGCTGGCAGGGCGAAGAGGCACCGTCCTCCTCGCTGTAGTCCAGGGAGCGGGCGATGCGGGGGGGCGGGCCTGACATGGGGGCTGAGGGCAGGTCGGAGCTGACTTCTGTATCCTTCGGGTCTGTTTAGAGAAAGGAGAGCATTTTTGTTAGAAAAAAGTCAGTTTATTCACTATTTTCTTCTGAATTGGAACATAGCATGTCATATTTCATGTCCTTTCTTCTTATATTGCTCTTATTCTGAAGGGTTTTGGTTGTTAGCAGCAGAAGAATGTTTTGATAGCCAATAATAACTGGATGTCAGATTTTACCCTTACTATGTTTCTGATAACTGAATTAATTTACAAGGGTTTCCCCAAGGCCCCACAATTCTTATCCCTGCTCATCAAGACTGTGTGTTTTTTTTATATCACTGGACATAATCCAATCAATCAAATTACATTAACTTGACCTAAACTCACCAGTGTTTTCCAGAGTAGTGGAGCGGCTGCCATCGTCTGTGAAGAGGACCAACATGGGCTGTTTGCTCTGGTGATGGTTGCGTCCTGAAGCGAAGCGGATCAGCTTCAGATCCATCTGACTTCCTCCAAGAGTCCGAACCACCACATGGAGCCCCAGGTTACTGCGTTCATCGCTCATCCAGGAGCGGACCTTAATAAAGAAGTTCACATTAGTCAAGTAAAACTCATAGCTTAAGCAGGTCTGTAAAGAAAAGTCTGTATATGTGATTGAAGGCCTTAAAGGGGAGTAAATACTTACTGCTTGTGTAATGGTGAACACTTCCCAGCCAGTAGAGTGGACTGGGATCAGTCTAGAGGACAGCAGCTTCTTCTCCTGTGTGTTGTTGTTTTTGCTGGTGTGAAGCAGCTGATAAACACTAACCTGAATGAAAAAGAGGTAATGGATGATTAAAGTTATGTCCCTGGAGGAGATGCATTGTAATGGGTTTAAAGCATTTCATAACATTGTTACCGTAATCTTAGTGAATGGTACATACCTGGCAGAAATGGTGTCTGTTGAGTGTCAGTGTAGCCTGAGGTCTCAGCTTGAACAGATGCAGCTCTGCAGTGAGAATCTTCTCAGTTCTTGCAACCGTGGACAAATTGAACCTGAACTCCACCTGTTCACTGCGCACTGCAAATGAAATGATAACATTAGAAACAAGAACAAGCGTGACCCTATTTCATTGACTAAAAAACCAGCAAGAAACGCATGCATGTATGGATAAAATCTTACATTTGTCAAAGAAGCTGCGCACAGTATTCCCCTCCAGCAGATACGGGTCCTTAGTCACACCGTCCACATCAGCAACAGTGTTGTACAGATCGAGCATGTACTGAGGTGGCTGTTTGTGCCCATGCATAGCAGGAGGATCATCCATCCCAAAAACTTCCAGAAGTCTCTTAATTGCAGCTGAGCGTACTTCCCCTGACTCGGCGGTGAACTGATTCTCCAGGTAGCCGAGTGGAGGCCGTGCAGCGGTGGTGCAAACTAAAGCGGCAAAGCTGATCACAAACAGCAACATGTCTGAAGGTAGAGTAGATTCCTTGTGCGTCGGTGTCCTCGGAGCACACAACCGGCCAGATTGTAACTGGAGTTGGAGTGACTGCAGGATCCTGGAAGCTTGACTTTTTATATCAAATGCTCCCGTTCACTCTTCAGCCTTGGTAAACAGCAGTAAAGATGCTATTTGGCTGCCAATGTAAATCGCCAATCAGCCAACATAAAGGGAGACTAATGGCGGTGTTAACAAGGTGTGAACCCGATTGTAGATTTTATTCAAGCCCATTGTCCCGACGTCTGGCAATAAATGTTCAATAAACTAATTTCATCCTTTGAAATAGCTTGGTACTTATGGACCAGTGTCTATGTTGTGCAGGAATACATTTTATGTATCATGCAATCGGAGATAAATGAAAGAAATGTGAACAGAATAAACCTGAAGCTGATCTCTTCAGGAAGTGCATTCACCATGGGAGGTCGACGGCCACTAAATGAATCCATTAATTTAGAATAAGGGGCACAGTGCCTTAGGTGGAAACCAATTACTTCGATAAAGAGACGGGTGTCCCTGTCTACACCTCGAGAGCTTAACATAACTGCTTATCCCGTGACTGCTGGATAATCACCACATTTGCAAAAAAAGAACTCCAAATGCAATGCGGTTAAGCTGATCTGGTGCTAAAAACATTATTTCAACTTTAGTCAGTTCGATCATTTCCAATCTTAAAAACACCCGCCTTATTACATTCTCATGTTACTCAAGTTAATCAAGATAAGATAAGATGGACCTTTATTAATCCCCGTGGGGAAATTCAGTAGTTTAACAGCAACAAGGTAAGAATGAAAAACAGGACAGCAAATGTTCCTTTGGGTGTACATTTCCTGAAGATTTAAGAACACAATTGTGTGTACACTGAAAATGTTATGGTTCCATTCAGTTTACCTTTCAACACTTAGATACAGAAATATATATATACAAAGATAATGCATTTTAATCAACCCTTAGTTAAAGACAACAATCTTAGTCATTATTTTAACTTAAAAGTTTGTTTTTGTTTATTTGTATTTCTTAAAACCAACTGAATTCCTTCCTATTTGTCTGACAAATGGCGCACTGTGCCATTTGGTAACTTTGATTTTTACTCACAATTGCAAGAGCAAAACGTTTGTTTCCCCAGCTGTAATAAACAATTAGACATCAAAGTGTTGTCTACATGACACCTTGTAAGCAAGTCATAAAACTTCTTCTCTTAAGATGACAGAAAAAAAAACACAAAAGAGTTTTTCGCACGTTGATATGAAAATAAGGAGCTATTAGCTACCTGCACGTGTGTTTTTTCAAAGGGACATTTGCAAAACTGGTGGGCTTTTCATGTGCTCCATACCTGTGCTTCTTCAAAGGCTGTTTTTAGCTCCTTGATACTTTAAACACTCACTTAAACAAATAATGGTTTTGATTTGTTTCAGAATGTTTTTATCAGATTGTCTTACATCATGTCAACAGAGCTGGGAGAAGTACTCGGTTATTGTACTTCAGTAAAAGTAGAAGTACCAGAGTGTAGAATACTATGTCACAAGTGAAAGTCGAAAAGTATTAGCATCAAAATAAACTTAAAGTACCAGAAGTAAAAGTACTTATTATGTAGATCGGTCCATTTCAGAATAATATATTTTATGTTTTGATTATAATTATTGATGCATTGAAGTGTTTATCACAGCTGGTGAAGGTGCAGCTAGTCTAAAAGACTTTGCATAATGCAGGGTAGCTGCTGCATTTACTCCAGGTGTAACTTAAGTCTGATTTAAGTGATGATCATATTTCACATTATTAATCCAAATCTGAAAAGTAACTACAGGTACTGAATAAATGTAGAGGAGTAAAAGTACACAATTTACCTCTGAATTTTAGTGGGGTAGAAATACAATGTAGCATAAAAAGGAAATACTCAAGTCTCTCAAAAGTGTACTTACAGTGCTTGAGTACATGTACTCGTTACTTCCCACATCTGCATGTCAAGCATGCCAATACTTCCTCTTGTGACTGTTATATTTCCTTGTTTTTCTTAACTCAAACCCCACAGTAATAACTTTTTTTAAGTAATGACATTGATATAATAATGTTACAGAAGGCTACACCTTGTATTTGCTATGTGGGGAAGTTTCTCAAGTGCTATTTGAGGTTATATTTCTTAGAAATATTTATTTTTTATTCGTGTTTTTGGTACAAATAGGGTGCTCCAGTTAACAAATACCTCACAGATTATTGTATTAAATTTATTTACAAAATTATCATTTAAACATATATTACATATAATACAAAAATACTTTAGGAGAACTAATTCTTAAACGGATGTCAGACTTTTTGGTGGGGTCGACAATGGACTGTTGAAAACTCCTGAGAAGGGATTTGAAGTGGTTTCCAGTAGGGGGCGCTGTGGTCAGTTTTGACAAAGGCAGGATATGATGGAGAGGATAGTGCGTATCTGTCCATGCTGGTCGAGGAAGCTGTGGGTCTCATAGCCCTCAGGAACACAGGAGCTGGACTGTTTTTCAGCCCACAAGTGGCAAACTGCTGGATCAGATTGATTTCTGCAAAATAAAATTGAAATAACATTTAATTCCCTTTGTGCTACACATCAAAGCTGTTTGTTGCCAGAAGCATACATAGAAAAATCAATAAAATGCCTTAATGAATGCCTCTGTTTGGTTACACTGTGAAAGTTAACTCCAGTATGTGAGGTTCTTGTATGCTTATATCAGCTTATGCCTGTCAAGTTTGACTGAAGTCATTATGAGTGTCAGTGCTTCCACTATGCAATACACAAACACCATGCATTAAGACATGCATTAACCTGACCTGCTGTTGGCGCGGTGATAACAAATTCATACTGTGCACCAAAAAAGTTGTAAAAAACCCTAAAGCTTTAATTTATATTAAAGTTGAAAGCCCAAATGTCATTATATTTAAATTAGCTGGAACTTTCTCTTAAAGCAACAATAAGTGCAATTGTGCATTGCTGGTGCATTAGTCTCAATTGTCCTAAATCTTGTTCAAAATATACTGAATATTTCAGGTTGAATTTAGGGAAAAGATGTTTAAAACAAGTGCACATTACATCTAGAATACTTTAATTTGATTTGAAAGCTGGAGCTCTAAAACATCTTGGCTTTCAACATTTAACTCAGTGTCAATATCATAAAGCTAAAAAAAGTGCTGAATAATGTTGCTATGATGCAGGGTTTTTTAAATGAAAAGATATGACTTTTTTTGTATTTGTCTGTGCACTATTTCCCCTCTCCAGCCATTCAATCAAAATCCAATGATATTATGAAGGAACTACATTACATGTCATTTTGTTAGACACTTTTATCCAAAGCGACTTACATACACTCAGTACTGAACTATTAGGTACATTTGTAATGGGGATCTCTTATTATGCCATTTACTTCATATACAATTATATACGGTATTTTCTTCTACTTTGTTATGAGAATGAGGCAGACTTCTGAAGGAGGGACATTTGGTTCAGGAATGTAACGCTGACGACATGCTGAGCACAGAAAGTGTCAGAGCTCACAGGCAATTGTTATGAGAGGGTCCGAGGAGGTGTGGGTGTGTGGCAGCTGTGTTCATGCTTACCTGAGAAGGCATCGGGTTCCTGTAGTGCAGCCTCCCAAACATCTGCCAACGTCTATTTCCTGTGGAAAATTAGCAACACACAGAGAGGGCAATCAGCACAGCTGGTCACAAACATTGACCCAGTGGAGCCATGGACAGCTGTTGTTTACGGCTCTGATCCGACACCTGCAGGGGCCATTTGTGTTTGCACTGCAGACACACCCTTGGTGCTGAGGCACAGCCAAACACCAACTCTGTCCATAAAATCAGTCTTTAAATCCTTAATCTAATAAATCTTTCATCAAGTTAAGTCTGGGGTTAAGATAAGAAATAGTTATATCAATCTTTGTTGTATTGATCTGATTGTGGATGAACTTCGCATTAAGTGCTTCAAAGCTTTTGTGAGGTTTGATCGAGGATAATGAGACTAAATCCTAATTTGCTACAATTGGGCCACAAAGCAGTTTAAATCAGGTTTCGATTGTATTTTCCTGAATTAAGTTGAGCTGGAACTCAAACCTGCCAGTCTCTGTTGTGTATTGTTGCTGGCTGTGCATGAGTTTGGCCAGTGGATTAGCTTGATTAAGTGCTGTCTTCCACATGAGAGTCAGATGAATAAAGATACTTCATTACTGTCTGGCACCCGACAAGACCCTCGTTTCCTCTGAACTCCACTACAATAGAGACAGTGTGAAACCGGCATCACAAATGAATCACGTGTGTGGTGTTAAGTAAGCCATGGTAATCAAAGAAGAGAGGAGAAGGCTGGATTCAAATATAGAGTTGAAGTCATGTACATTTTTCTATTGTGGATAAACAAGACAGAAACATTTCTTTAGTGAAAGTTAAGAATGTACACCTACTTTAAGTCTCTCCTCTTTGACTCCATCGTTGTGGACTACTTCGTAGTGATACTCCATGTATGGGACCCTGTAGCAGCTTTCTTTCAGCTCACAGGACACCACTGTCTGGATCAGCTCCACTTTGTTTGGGGTTTCCACCAACTCTGAGTCAAACTTAGTGGGAACACAGGAGAATCCCTCTGTGGAGGATTAAGAAAGGAAGAAATTGAGTTATATGGGCAGAAGGTATCAGCTCAATAATAATATCTGATCCAAATGAAAACAAAAACAACACCAGATTGGCTTTGGGATCACTCCCACCCTAATTGATAGGTCTTTAAATTACTAGAAAGCAATTTCACAAGTTTTTATTCTGATTATGTTACAGAGAAGGGTTTGATCAAGTGATTTTAATTAAACAGACAAACTCCTGAGTAAGTAAAACTATTGTATTGTGTATGTTCATGTAGCTTGAATTGTGAAATGGCCCAAAAATGAGCATTGGGAATTTAATTGCATCAGCATTGTGGTAGATTCTGATGAAAGCAGTGCAGGACTGCTTCGACTATATGGGCCTGCAGTGACTATCACTATAACTAAAGTAGGCCTATATCCTTTTAGGTTGTTTGTGTTTTTTTAACACAAACATTGTGCAGTTTCATATTATTAATAGTTTAACATGGTGACACCTATCTACCTTCAAATTAGTTTTGAGGTCAGACAATGTCAAATAAAGATTTTTTTGAACTAGCTTTACTTAATGTTTTCTGTTCTAGTTAAAAATATCTTGCATCGTTATCTCCCTTATAGTTTTAGATAATAATAGACTAACTGACTGAGTTCTATTCAACCTATGTGTGTTAGGAAACTCAATCATATTTCATCTGATCAGCTGCTCATTGTATATTTGTTTATCCTCTTCCTGTTTTTATTGTTATTTGGAACGCAGGTAGCTGCACAATACACACGCACACGCACGCGCACACACACACACACAGCCACACGCACACACACACACACACACACACACACACACACACACACACACACACACACACACACACACACCTGGTGAACCCTTGGACCGGGAGCAGCCTCCCACGTCCAAGACAGCCTCATATGGTGTCTCGCTGTAGTAAGTCCTGAGCGCGGGCACGCGGAGGCACTGGGTCAGATTGAGCTCGCACTGGCACTCCTGGATGATATCCAACTCGCGGGGTCCCTCCAGCAGCAGCAGCCGGTCCACGCGCACCCCGGTTGGCTCACACACCTGGTTCATCCCGCAGGAGGACAGCTGGCCCTGCGGCCCGGGGCTCTCTGGAGCTGAGGGTCCGCGCGCCCTCGTCTTTTGTAAGAGAAATAAGATATGTCAGAACATGTTTCTGTGTCCATCATTGTGAGTGGTGGAAATTATTTTCAGAGTGCTATTACAATTAAAGTGCATTCATAATAATTTAAGAGCTATGCGGATATTCCTACTTAAACCATCAATATATCTTACAGAACTATCATACATCCTTTAAAAACAATATACGTGATTTGATGACGCGTCAGTTATAACGTCATACTAATGTCTATTTGAGTTTAAGTAGATAACTTTACAATTACAAAGGGACAGCGCCCCCGTGTGGCCACCTGGGGAAACTCAACTTACTTTTTTACTCCTGAGAAATTCCAGCATTGAGGAATGTCTGGAGTATTCCTGCTGCCCTGCTTCATGTGAGGGCCTGGGTGCCCCCCCACAGTGCGACCTGCACACCCCCACATCCACACTGACAGGACTCCCAGAGATGTCTGTGAGCAGAGTCACACAAAATAAATTTGAGGGCAGACAGCAAGATTAATAACATAGAAAACATACTTTTTTAAACACGTAAGGCTAATCATGTCAGTTGCTTTTACATGAAATCCTCCGACAAATTATACTGTGGCTTATTTTAGAGGATTGAAGACTTGCAGTTAATTGCAAATCAAAACATGTGCTTTTACTGATGGAAGAACATGTGGTTGGGTGTTACCTTCTCCAATGTAGACAAAGTGGCTCTGTCTCTTGCAGCACAGCCTCTGTGTGATCAGGTTTCTGTGATCTATGTGGTTACTAAACACTCCGGTCACTAGAAAACACAATCAGAAAGTTAACACTTTTATGCTTTTACTCAATGTATACTTGTATAATGTCACACTTTATATATTTCCCAAAATAGGCAGATTCAGATCAATGGGATCACACTGTTTTACACACAAGTTAAGCTTCCATATTTCCAAGTCTTTAATGAATCAAAAACCGAAATTAGCAGGTACTTACGTTACGCCCAGACAGGTTTATTAATGCTTAGAATAATAGCTTTACAAGAAGAAAAATGAATGTTGGTGTCATGCATGACTATTATTCAGTTCAGCATCACCCCATCCACTACACTCATGTTTACCAATGTTATTACAAGGGATTAGCAGGTATATTTGATCCGGTTGGTGTCAGTCCAGTCAGTGAAGCTGCTTTAATACATGTCACAGCAGCAGCAGCAGAGCATAGAGTAAACAGTACTTACAGGTCAGGTGGAGGGCACACAGGAGGAGAAGAAAAGGCCGGGGTACATCCATGGCTTTAATCCGAATCTGCTCCTCAGCTGCCAGATACTGAGTGTCCCTCTGCTCACTGACGCCTCTGATATTTATATGGGATCAAGCTTCAGCCCCAAATGTCACCTGAAAACAAGCTCTCAGACTGGTGTAGGGTCAGAAAAAGTGAGAGCTACTCAAATTTCCATGCGGAATGCTTTGTGGGATGGAGTTCTTACAAGCAGGGGCCTTCACTTCAAAGGAAATCTCCACAGCCTCTCTGTTTCTGTTGCGAGGACCGAGTGGCTCGAGTGTGTCGACCGGCCCGAGCTCTCTCTAATGAAGTGTTTAAGTAGCCTCGAGCCATTAAAGCGTCGCTCATTCAAAGGCCTTAATCATCTTTTATCTCAGGGGGAAGGTGTTTAGCACCTCTGACTTAAAACAAAACCTGGCCCAAACACATAAACAGGATCAGCATGGGGGCCTGAGCCTCCCCTTCAGAAGCCCCAGCACCTTTGTGTTTATTCAACATGACACCAAATGGCCAGAGCAAATCCCAGCTTATTTTTCTCTTCAGAGAAAGGGGCTAAAAGAAATATTAGAATAAAATACATTTCAAACATTTCAATCTCTGTGTATTTAACATTTTAGAGTTGAATGTAAGCTTAAGAACACAGTAGACTGGCAAAAAGGCCTAGAATAAACCTCAAAAAATTTAAAAAGGGCGACATTAATACCCTGTGAAGCTTTATTTACAGGCATAACACATATGGTCCAAATAAATCATCTTAATGTCAGGAAAACCACTTTAATATGGTGTAACGTTGGCATTTGACTTATTCTTCATTCATATCTCAACAAGGTGTTAACCCTTCTTTGAAGTGTTGATATGATCCCCTCATTTTCAGCGGGATCAACGGATCATCGTTCAGAGAGCTATCAGCACTCAGACCTGTTGATTAAGGTGACGCCTGCAGCAGTTTCAATTGTGGATTGCTTTCACAAATCCTATTGAAATGAATCATAATCCTGGTTGAAGCCAGATATAATTGTAGTAATCACTTGATTGAATTATTCAGATCATATGATATGTTGTCAGGAAACTCTACTATAAAGATTACCACAATTGTTTTACAAGCTAAAGGGACCCTGCGGGAGAGCGGGCCCACACAGCTGTAATTTCGTTATTGATTTATAACTGTGTGCTTTGTTTTGTAAAATGTGAAATGGACTCACTTCAAAACGAATAATTGACTGTTCAGGGGTCAGAGGTTAAAAAGTGTGAGACTCATGACCAACAATCTAATGAAAAGCTGTGTGGTTTCTGGATCTACTGATTGTCTCAACAATATAAGGAGTTGAGAGCTTGAAATGTAAACCAGCACAATTCCTTGAGAACTGAGCAAAGTCTCTCAGTTGGAGAAGATATTGTAATACCACAGAAAGCTCCAAAGAAATTATAAATGGACATTGTGCTGAGATTGTTCATCAAACTACCAAGGTCAAGAATTAACCTTTTTTGTATCACTTGAATCTCAAAGTTGACCCCCTGTGTATCAAAATACTAATATATTTTAAAATGCATTCCCTACATAAGTATGGTAATTTTGAACAATGTTTTGAATTATTATATTAACTTGTTATTTTCAATATAATTTGTCTTTAAAGTGACACACCGACAGAGTGAAAACAAAACCTCTTTCATTGAAATAGCAGTAGTCGTATGTTTCCTGCAACCTTTGATAAAGTTTAGTCAACATTTACTGACTTTAAAGAATGATAAAGATCTCCCTACTTTCATTAGAGTCATGACATATTTCGGTCACATGTTAGAACGATATATCAACAGTTATTTATGATCCTTCAAATGTAATAAAGAGAAACTGGCTTCCATGACAGTGTTTGGGCTAAGGGTTAAACTGTACCAAATATTATGGCAATAAACATAATGTCATTCTCAAATAACTTTGAGGTGTGCAATACTTTACGACCGATTTTATCTCTTCCTTTTTGCTGTTGCTCTTTCTACGTTCCCATAAAAATGATTTATTATAAGAGTATGTCAGTCTTTCCCACCAAACTTGCACATACTTCTGTTAACATACACTTCTAGATTTTACAGATAGTTAGGGAGATGGCAGATACATCACTTTTGATGTTAACAAGTTTGTGCTTTTTGGTGCTTAATATCCCATGTCTTGTAATTCATCACATTCGTTTCAGTGTAAAGTGTTTGGTTCAGATTCGGTTTCCTTCGCTAATTTTTTCCAATCATGGTTTTCTTTGTTTGATGAAACAGGGCTAAATATTTCTGAGTACGATGCCAAGTAGCTGTTTCTTTCTGCCCAGGCAAGCAAAAGCAAGAAGCTCAGCACAAATGTCAGTCTGTTGAGATATCGACTAAAAGAAACGAAAGCCTCAGCTCCAAAATCCTTTTCAGGTGCAACCAAATACTTTGCATGTGTTAGTCATACTGTATGTGCCATTAATATATTAGGCATTATTAGTTATCTGTCAGTTTATATTTCACTGTTGCCTTAAGGCATTTTTTACAGCCAATTCAAAGAAAAACCTCACCAGTACAAAGGTTTATCTGTATCCAAGTGTTGATTGATGCTAAAAAAACAATCACTCACTCCCTCCTCTCAACATGTACATTACCAAAAGAGAAGTGTTCGTTAAAACATCAAACACACAGGCCTGTTCAATAATGTTACTACGATGCAAACTACGAAGACAAGGCGGCCAAATACACTGCATTAGTCATAGTGAGGTCTTATCACATGCATGTCCCAGCAGTTCTTGCTGTTGCCGATGGATATGAAAGAAGAACACACATAGATCAATGTGGAAATCCCGCCTCATGTCAGATCAGATCCTGCTGGTTGTAAATCAGCACATCACAGTCACCGAAACGCTCATTGAAGATGTGTGCACACCTGCTTTCTTTCTGCAGATATGTTGCCCTGCAGTTGTAATGTGGCATAGTGGGTTAGTGCGTTGGTGTTTGGATCAGGGGAGCACAGGTTCAAACCCCACTGCAGTCAGCATGTCGTTGTGTCCCTGGGCAAGACACTTCACCCCAAATTGCTCCTGTGGGGATTGTCCACAGTATTGACATGTAATGTAATCAGAATACTTCAATCTTGGCATTTTAACGGCTTACTTTGCGGTCAGCAGTGTATCATTACCTAAAAAGCACCGTCACCCAAAGAGCCACAATGGAAAAAAGCACTTAATAGGCTATGCAAATATTGTTTATACATTTCATATGTATTTATTTTAGATATATTTTCAAAGAGAAGATAAATAAGAATATGGGGAGCATACAAATGTATAACTGTCATCATGTTAAAGGCAAACAGTGTGTGAACGTATTATTTAAACGAGTTGTCAAATAAATGTGGTGGAGTAGAAAGTAAGTTTGCTTCTAAAATGTTGTGAAGTAGAAGTATAAAGTGGCATCAAAAGTGCATTTACCCAAACAAATTACTTAGTAAATGTACTTAGTTACTATACAGCACTGTGTACAGCTTAAGTAAAATGGTGAATGTGTTACTTTTGCACTGTAAATCGCTGCCTACAGTGGTTTTTATCATTGCAGGTATCCATAGTAAAACTGTTCTGATTTTAGTTACACATCTACTTCTTACACAGAACTTTGCCATATATGACAATTGTGTTTAAACTTTTGCAAGTAAAATACTGCCTGCATAAAAGTGTTTAATGATGGTAACGTCAGGTGGTGAAGGAGATTTGTTCTTCATAGCAGGCTCATAAAGAAACAATGTGCAGACATTTCCAAGAGCATTCAGATTGTAAATGCTGTGTGCCTTGTGTAATAATAATTCAAACGCCTCATAAATAAATATGAGCAGGAAAAGGGTGTTCCCTTTCCTCCTTTTATTTGTATACAAAATGTCCCTGTTTTAATGAAATATAGTGTTAAAATGTTTATCACAAAAAAGTGGGCTTAACAGAAAATCTGTGTAGAAACCTTTATGAACAAATGTATTTACTTAGTACATATCTGACATTAACGATTAAACACATTTGTGCATTCTTTAGAAGAGAGAAACTTGTTCTGCCATAGGCCTACTGGGTCAGGCTACAAGGAAGTGGAGAGGAAAATAGCATGATGTGTTTCATACTGCCTAGTGAAGTCTACTAGTTTTACTTTGAATGAATGACTGTCAAGAAAACATCTATAGCAATGATTTTATATCACTGTATAGTAGGTTTAAGTAATGCATTAGCAATTGTGGCTAAAAATACAAAACAAAAATAATAAGTTTCAGAATCAGAAACGGGTTTATTACCAGACAGGTGAACATATTCTTAAACTATCAACAACAATAGGGTTTGGGATGATAAGCAACATTTATTGATATAATGCTTATACAGGAACAAATACATATACAAAAAAATATATGAAAAGACAGACAGTTTAACATTTCAGAAAAAAGTTAAGACAAGAGTTTCTCCTTTTCTATGAGACAGATTTCCCAAATGCATTTACATTTAATGATTAGTGTTTGAATATAAACGATTATTGATGGCCATCTCATGCAAGAAGTACTCATGTATTATTATCATTTACACTGATCACCATTTATTAAGCAGCTTATTGAATACCTCATGTATTAAAAGGCAAGAAAACGGTCACAAAAGTATTCTCATTGGAGCAGCCATGCTACTGAAGGCGTTTATATGTCAGTTCATTCTCAAACAACAAGGTGCTGCTGCGATTCTACCCAAGCGTTGACCTTTGCCTTAGTGCAGAGTGAAAGCAAAAGTAATGCTTGAAGATTTCCTTGGCCAGCCTCATCGACTAGATTCCAGAAAGACACCATAAAACCGTGTGTTGCTTAATGATAAGATTTGGCAGATGAAGGCGAATGACTCTGGGCCATTTCAGCTGGCAGACGCCCTCAGCCTCTGTACGGCTGATCGTGCTGTGAGGAGAACAACAACATTAAATGTCAATTATTTTGAAAAGGGTATGTGTATTTTAGAGTAGCATGATGCCTTTTTGTTACAAA